TGATCTATGAAACTATATTGACACATCATCACCATCCAAAGTCTATAGTTTACATACGTCTTTCTCTTGGTCTTGTCCATTCTATGGGTTTTAAGGAATGTAAAATGATATGTTTTTTTTTTAAATACTTTTTTTTTAATTTTTATTTATTTATGATAGTCACAGAGAGAGAGAGAGGCAGAGACACAGGCAGAGGGAGAAGCAGGCTCCATGCACCGGGAGCCCGACATGGGATTCGATCCGGGGTCTCCAGGATCGCGCCCTGGGCCAAAGGCAGGCGCCAAACCGCTGCGCCACCCAGGGATCCCTGTAAAATGATATGTATGTGCAATTATAGTATACAGAATAGTTTCACTGCCCTAAAAATTCTACGTGCTTCACATATTTATCTTCTTTTCCCTATTTAACCCCTGATAGCCACTGATCTCTTTATGTGTTTATAGTTTTTCTTTTCCAGAATGTCATATAGTTGGAATCATACAATGTGTATAGCCTCTTATTGATTGGCTTCTTTCACTTAGCAATATTCAATTAAGATTCATACATGTCTTTTCACGGACTGACAGCTCTTTTTTGGATGTATGAAGAATAACAATTTATTGCGTAGTTGTACCAGTCTTTTGATTCACTTACTGGATGACACCTTGTTTGCTTCCAAGTTTTGACAATTATGAATAAAACTGCTGTAAACATCTGTGTGCAGATGTTTTTGTATGGACATAGTTTTCAACTCATTTGGGTAAAGACCAAGAAGAATGATTGCTAGATAATATAGTAAGAGTAGGCTTAGTTTTTAAAGAAACTCCTCAAAACTTATCACCACTGAATTTTTTAACTTGAACTTGTCCATGCTGAACTTCCTGCATTTCATTTTTAGTTTGAGTTTTCTTATCCCACTGCTAGTTCCTGTGGAAGTTTGTTCTTATGGATTTCTGCTCTGATACTTTCTGATTCTTCGTATCAGCTGTTTATCTCTTCAATTTTTGGTGCTGTGATTTGTTCTGTGACCTTGATTCTTTGATAGATATAAGAAGAGTTGTTGATTTTCAGTTCATTCAGCTTTTATTGTTAGGTCAGAATGACTAATCCAGGTTCCTTCCATGTCACATTGGAAATCAGAAGTCTAAACTTTATTTTGAAAGTCTGTATTCTTTGATGACGTATTTTGTCTCTTGGCTCTCTGTTCCTATTGTTGTGGTCAGCTGGTGGATTTTTTTAAATAAATTTATTTTTTATTGGTGTTCAATTTGCCAACATACAGAATAACACCCAGTGCTCATCCCATCAAGTGCCCACCTCAATGCCCACCACCCAGTCACCCCCACCCCCTGCCCACCTCCCCTTCCATCACCCCTAGTTCATTTCCCAGAGTTAGGAGTCTTCCATGTTCTGTCTCCCTTTCTGATATTTCCCACTTATTTTTCCTCCTTTCCCCTTTATTCCCTTTCACTATTATTTATATTCCCCAAATGAATGAGACCACATAATGTTTGTCCTTCTCTGATTGACTTATTTCACTCAGCATAATACCCTCCAGTTCCATCCACGTCGAAGCAAATGGTGGGTATTTGTCGTTTCTAATGGCTGAGGAATATTCCATTGGATACATAAACCACATCTTCTTTATCCATTCATCTTTCGATGGACACCGAGGCTCCTTCCACAGTTTGGCTATTGTGGACATTGCTGCTATAAACATTGGGGTGCAGGTGTCCCGGCGTTTCATTGCATCTGTATCTTTGGGGTAAATCTCCTCAGCTGGTGGATTTGATAAAGATTTCCTTAAATACCTTGAGCCACAAAAAGAGAGAGAGAGAGAGAGAGAAAATTTTTCCCCCTGTTCCTTTAAGATTGTCTCTGTGAAAAAAAAAAATGATTGGCTCTGTGTTGGGATACTCCTTCAAAGCTTAGCCAGGCTTTTTACAAATATTGAGTTAGCCTCCCTTTTCTGCTTCCCCTTGAGCCAAAGATAAAAAAAAGGTGGAAATTTAATGTCCACTCAGAAATTTTCTCAGCATGAGTCCTGGAATGGGTAAGTGTGTGGCTGACAAGATTCCCCCTTATATATGGGATCTTTTCAAAATCCTTATTTTCCAAAGTAACTCCCAGCTTTTTCTTCCAAGCTGTTGACATGCCTATTATTTGCTGCAATTGCAATCTTTTTCTCCAGGGAGCTTTGGCTTATTTATTTGCCTTTCAATGTTGAGGAATGCCCTCCACTTAGCTGGGTTTTTTTGTGGGTTTTTTTTTTTTTTTTTGGTTTTTTGTTTGTTTGTTTGTTTGTTTTTGTTTTTGTTTGTTTTGTTTTGCTTTGCTTTGAGAGGGTTCTGAGGTAGATGAAAAAAGAGGCAAAAGCTACTTCCGGACTTCTCTTGGCTTCAGTGATATAATAGCCTGTCTAGAGTGTTAGTTGCAGATTATTTCACTTTAAAAAATATTATGCCATCTTCTTATTAGGAAGCTTTTTATGATAGCAGCATTGAGTGCCAGGCCCATTAACCACAATTTTTTTAGAGTAGGGTATTTTTACTCAGATGGCTAACAGACACATGAAAAGATGCTCAATATTACTCATCATCAGGGAAATACAAATAAAATTATAATGAGATATCACTTCACCCCTGACGGAATGGCTAAAATTAATAATACAGGAAGCAACAGATGTTGGTGAGGATGCAAAAAAAAGGGAATCCTACACTGTTGGTGGGAATGCAAACTGGTACAGCCACTCTGGAAAATAGTATAGAAGTTCCTCAAAAAGTTAAAAATAGAACTACCCAAGGATCTAGCAATTGCACTACTAGGTACTTATTCAAAGAGTGCAAAAATATTAATTCAAAGGGATACATGTATCCTGATGTTTATATTATAGCAGCATTATCAATAGCCAAATTATGGGAAGAGTCTAAATGTCCATTGACTCATGAATGAATTAAGAAGTTATGGTATATATACAATGGAATATTACTCAGCCATAAACAAGAATGAGACCCTGCCATTTGCAATAACATAGATGGAATTGTATTATGCTAAACGAAATAGTCGGTCAGAGAAAGACAAGTACCATATGATTTCACTCATATGTGGAATTTAAGAAACAGATGAATGTGGGAAGGGGATAGAGAGGCAAGCCATATAACAGACTCTTAACTATAGAGAACAAAACTGAGGATTGCTGGAGGGGGAGAAGAGGCAGGCAAAAGGATGGGTTAAATGAGTGATGGGTATTAAGAAGGACACTTGTGTTGAGCAGTGAGTTATACGTAAATGATGAATCACTAAATTCTACTCCTAAGACTAATATTATCTTATATGTTAACTAACTGGCATTTGAATAAAAACTTGAAACAAACAAAAAGAGTAGGATATTTCCTGGTTACCTTGCCTGTAGTTTTTTCTTAGGTTTACTTTTCTAAGAATTAATTTTGTTATTGTTTGCTAGGTTAGAATGTGTCGTGAAATCATTTCTGAGCCTTTGAGTTTCTGAAAATAGTTCTGAAATAGAAATAGAAAACTATTTCTGAAATAGTTTTATTTTGGCTTTACACTTAAATGGTATCTTTAAAATTAGAATGGAAGTTTAATATTTTCCTGGGGAACTTTAGATATATTCTTCCACACCTTCACAGAATTTTCTCATTCTGTTTAGTGTTTGCCTGAAATTGATTTTCTCACATATGGTCAGTTTTCAATTTCCATGTTTATTAATAATGTTCCAGATTCAGCATTACTAGAACTGATGTGGTTTTCTCAGTAGTTGAGAAAGCCTTTGTTCTCCGGGCTTTTAGTGGCTTAAATAGTTGTTGAACTCTGGCTCTCATGAATGGATGAATTGATATATGATGGTTTCCCATCATCTTCTAAGATAGGAAAGGAGGTTTTGAGAACCTTGGAATCTCTTTTGATGGTGGAAAGAACAAGTTTATTCCAAGGTAGTATGCCTCAGTGAATATTACATTTTAAATCCTTATATAGCTGAAAATATTTTCCTTCAGACATGCATGTTTATTTAATTTTAGTTTTTTTTTCTTAAGGATGTCAGCCTTTTTTACTTAGATTTCTGATTTCTTATTATTTAGCACAGTGATTCTCAAACTTTAGTATACAATGGGATCAATTGGACCGCTAGTTAAAACACAAATTGCTGGTCCTACTCCCACAGTTTTTGATCCAGTTGACTGAGATGGGGCCTAAGAATTTATATTACCAATGAATATGTTTGTTTAGGTGATGCTGATGCTTTTGACTATGGGACCACACTTTTTGAACCATTGATTTAGAGTTAGTGTGGCAGAAGGGAAATTTTAGACTAGCCTGATTTTTAGTTAATTAACTTTTCTTTACTGCCAGAATGAATGTAGTAATATTTTTACTTAATAAAGTAATTAGAAACGTTTATCTGGATGTGATAGAATGGGCTTTTTGTGTGTGTGTGTGGCAAACATAATCATTTTAACATTACATTTTCTAAATGTTAAATATTAGTATTTTGGATTATATGATTCATTTTGGATATTCAATTTCTGTCACAATCTCCCAAACCAGTTCTTTGCAATTTCCATTAAAAATATCAAGTAGTAGTATAATTTTATATCTTGATTTTTAGGCCCTTTACCAGAGCAAAGTTATGTTGAAGAAATAATGTTCTTATGATAATGCTTTTTATTATTGTACTCTCTGCTATATAAAAAAATCTCTTCCAAAAGGAATCTTAAGTTTATTCCTTACCTATATTAAGAAAATATATGAAATCATATATGTGAATTATTTTGGATATTCTAATATCGATCTATAATGACAGAAGTTTTTCTAGAATTGAGCTGTCTATGTAAGATATACTAAAACTACATCTGTATTATAAAAATTATGATTTTTGGATTATAGATTTATAGTTTTAGTGATTTGTGCATTTTTCTGATTGAAAATTAGACTTAAATATTTTATCATATATATTATGACAAATTTTTTAAAAAATGTTTTAATAAAACTTTATTTTCCAGATTTTGGAATCTCTTTATGAGGTACGTTCAATATATTGCAGCTTAAGTCTACTAACATTTAGTACAGAAATACATATTAATGAAGAAGAGGTTTCTAAGTTCTGAGGCGTAAAAAGAACTTCCAAACTTGCTACTATATATTGTTAAAAATGTTATGTTCCAGTTATGTTGCATTAGCCCTATTCTGAACCCTAAGATAAATGATGTTTGGTTCAGGGCTAATATGTGATAGATGAAGATACATGCACACAAATGCATGCATGTGTACCCATATGTTCAAATAACCTGTCAATAAGTATTTCCTTCTTTTTTTTTTCTTTTCAAAGTGGTTTCAGCGACAGGTCAATCAGATAGAAGAGGTAAGTATAACATTTCTTAATTGTGAATTAAATTGATATTTTGTCTCACTTGGAAATCAATTTGAAGTGAAAAATGTTTGAATAATCATTGTTTGTAATCTTTTAATTTAGGTAGAGAAGGAAAAAAAATGGGTAGGACAAAATGTTTCCCAGGGATTACACACTGCATTCATGCATGTGTCTGGAATGCTCTGAGTCTGACACATTCTTTCTCCTAAAATTAAATAATGGAAATTTTAATTATCCTTCTTTCCTATCTGACATAAAAGTGACAAGATATACTTACTTATAAAAATTACTTATTAAAAAGCATAATATACTTACTTATAAAATTATATATTGATTTTCTTTAAATTTAATGTTATTTTAATAATTTTTTTTGTACTTTAGATTTTCAGAGGTCTTTTGGTCATTTTGAAAACTGGTGATCTCTAACCTTAAGGGTTTTTAATTCTATTTTGGGAAAGACTTTATGATGTTAACATAGCAGGATGATTTCTAGGGTAGCATCAGTGATTTATAGAATCATTGTGATTGTCCCTTGGTTATGCTTATGGTTTAGTCCAATTAAATGCTCTTGAATCCCAGGTACTTGAAATTAAATAAGTTCATTTATTTGGGGTATAAAATTAAAAAATAAAGATAGAAATTGTAACTGTCTGCTAGCACCTTCTTATCATCATACCTTTGGCTCCAGAATAGACTTCTATGGTCTGTATACTCTTTGCTTTAGGATAGCTATGACTAACATTGGAAGAGTCTTAGTAGCTTTTCTTTTAGTATGGTAGATTGGTCATTATCTTTGCAGAGATGTGGGGTTGACATGAAGTCTACTGTTCTACCCTCTTGTAAAATGCATACTTTGCAATGTGAATCATCTAGCTTGCCTTTGCCTTCTTATTTTTGTCTACCAACTTCTTTTAATTCTATTTTATTCCTGAATTTGTCTCTCTCCCTTCTTTTTATACTTTGTCCTGTTAATGTGGAGACCTACCCTAAATCCTAGCCTCTCAGCTCCTTGACTCATCTCCCCAGCTCAAGTGTTTTTCTTTACCTTGGGCCCTTATGTCCAGTCATCCTCTAGATCTTATTGTTAACCAAATTACTTTATTTTAAAAATCACTAATCAGAGAACTAATTCTTGAACTATAAATTTACATCTTATCAATTATTACCGTAAATACTATTATAAATATATGCTAATATATATAAATATTATATAATATATATAAATACTATGTGTCTACTTTTCTCTGTATCTATTATTTATACCTTAGTGCCAGTTACCATCATTTCTGGTAATCCTGAAATCCTGATTTATGCATTTGTATTCACCAGGAGGAATCTTCAGCACACAACTAAATTTCTGATCTGGAATTCCAGATTTTTCAGTTTTTACATCCATAATTAATTCTTTTGAATAATTTTTTAATTTGGTGTATCAGATACATTGCCAAAGTGTTTGTATTATCCTCTGCCTCTTTTTTTTTAAAGATTTATTTATTTATTCATGAGAGAGAGAGAGAGAGAGAGGCAGAGACACAGGCAGAGGGAGAAGCAGGCTCCATGCAGGGAGCCTGACGTGGGACTCGATCCCGAGACTCCAGGATCACGCCCTGGGCCAAAGGCAGGTGCCAGACCGCTGAACCACCCAGGTGCCCATATCTTCTGTCTTTTAATTAATGTTTCTTAAAATATATTTGATGGATCATGTTTAAATATCACCCAAGATACCTGTTAAAAATGCACATTTCAGAACTGCATGTTAGACTTACTGATTTAAAGTTTTCTTGTATGTGTATAGTAGGAATTTACCTTTTTAATAGGATTTTTTAGAGGATTATTGTGTATACTAACATTTGAGAATCGTGGAATAATCTTGTTTTAATTGCTGACACATTTTATTGTTAGTACATGCTGGTGAGGCTTATGTCTGTCATGTTGCATTAACAGAAATACATGGCGAAGCCTTCATAACATATGGTAAGCCACAGAAGACAAATGTAGGATAAGCATGTAGGCTATGCACTTCAGAGTTGTTCTGCTGGAACCTATGCCCATTATGTCCCTTTAATGAAATCTTATAGCCTATCTCATTGTCTAGTCCATATTCCTTTAGTTTTGCAACATCATCTCTTCTCCCAGAAAGGACTTGTGTTTAAATTGAATTCCTAATGGGAAATACAATGTATCAGTTAAGGTCTAATCAAAAGATAAAAACTACACAGTAACCTGAATAGGGAAAGTTTAACATAAAGAATCATTATAACAGGAGAATACCTACTAAAGTCATAAAGACAACTCTAAAGAATACAGGGATAGAAGGAATAAGAAGTAGCCTCTACTGAGAGTATGAAAGCAAAGCACTTAAGGAAGGAACAAAGCTTAATATCCCTGTCCTTACCCTTTCCCTAACCTAGGGTTAAGGTCCACACCTTGTGAAGAAGGAGATGCTGTCATCACTGATTGGCAGAGAAGTTTGCTGGGGTGCCATGCTGGTGGAATGGGATTTCCTGGAAAGCTGCCCATGATGGCAGTACATTGGGAAGCCATCCTCTATAGTCCTTGGAAAAGCCATCTTCCAGGGATATGTTGTACCCCTTGCTGTCTATAAGGGTGGTATGCTGGAAAGCTTCCCAGAGAGAAGTTCTGCACTGATAGATTTTGCTAAGAAGTCCTGGGAGAAGCTGCCCAAGGGAATGAGTCATGCCAGGGACCTTGTGAGGAAAACACCGATGGGGATGGTGCTGTTGAAGCTTTTTGGAGATGATCTCTACTCGTATACTGCGCAGTCTTCTAGGATTAAGCAGAGAGAGATGACAGACTTAGGAAAAAAGCTGCTTCTTTCTGTCATGTCTAGGACCCTCTATTGATAAAGGTTAACATGATACCTGTCAAGAGAGAAAAGTTCTGCTATTATAAGCAGGACAATGGAAGAATGGGTTTTTAGATGAGAGGCAATACATTGATCACTGTGGCTGATTGCTACATCACTTTTAGACTCCACTTATGATTTGGCAATGTATCTGATATACCAAATGTGTCCTCTCTTGGGATCATGCCTTTATCCATAGAGTTTCTATGCATCTCCTCTATTTACCTTCCCCCTGTTCTGCATCCCCCAATTTCACATTTCCAGAACATTGCCCAGTGTATACTTCTATTATATCCTATTTCCATTTCAAGTAGCCATTACTAAAATGAAGTCTCTTTTAAATCCCATTGCTAGAATTTCTCTTTGCTAGGTTTTATGTCTATGCCTTGACTATTACTACTTTTTATACATACATACATACATTTATTTATCTGTTTGTTTATTAGCTTTCCTTCCCATCAGGTTGGATCTCTGCTATTTTGTAAAAAAAAAAATGTTTTTAACTCAATTGCTATGCTACTTATTTATGTTTCTACATATTGGCTGTTTCTGTGTTTCTTTCATTGTGTGTGTGTGTGTGTGTGTGTGTGTTTGTGTGTTTAAGAGGGCGGCACTCATCTTGCTCAACTATCTTTAAGTAGACTTAATGCCTAGAATATCAGTTATGGTCTATCACCTTATTCTGTGGATCTTACTGATTCTCTTGCTTGTTCATTATTCTGTAGCTTGATCTATTCTAAAAGTCTTGAGACACCCAAATGTGTCTCAGTTTTTCCTAGATAGACCAAGGAATGCCAGTTTCATAGACTTTTATATATTAACTTCTGGGAGTTAGCAGAAGGAACTGCTTTTGAGAGCAAATTACTGTCTTTCCATATTTATCACAGGTTAAGACTATTCTTAGAAAGGATTTTCTTTCTAAGCAGTTACTTTAGAATTCTCTTGTAAATATTTTGAATTGCCCTTAACTTATCCTGTTGCAATTGTTATTGAACTTGCTTAAAATTCTTATATATTGAAATAATAAAGAGAAGATTGGATTTGAATTTGATGTGTGAAAGTCAGCACTTATGTATAATCCTGTTGCTAGGTAAGTACTTGTAAAATCATATTTATAAAATATCAGTATTTGATTATAGCTATAGATAAGAATATTATAAAAATTATTTAAATATGGTAAGGAAAATGAAATTTCTTTGAAGTATAGGAGCATGGGTATATCCTAAGTAACTGGCTAATTTTATTGTTTTAGATAAGTAAAGATCAAAGTTTTTCAGAAGCAGACTTTCCAGTATCTGACAAAACAGTCACTTTAAGCATTGCACAAATAGTAAAGCAGGTTCAAAAACTAGAAGAACTGAAAAATCGCCTTAAACAAGAGTCTAAATACTCCTTGAAAGCCGTGTTGGCTAAAGCCAAGTAAGTAAAATATAAGAGTTAATAGAATCCAAAATAATGAGTGGGTATATGATTACTAATGAATGTAAGACAATGGTTCAGATATTATACTATAACTAGAGTTTCTAAATCAAATCAAATAGTCTAATCAGTTTGCTCCTACTTGAAATTTTTAATAGTTTGAAATGGCACTGTCCAACTAGTGGTCACTAGTCACACTTGGCTACTAAAATTAAAATTCAGTTCAATTTAATTAAAAAATCAATTCTGCTGTCACACTAGCTGCATTTCAAATGCGTAGTAGCCAATGTGGTTGTTGTTGGAAAGTTTTATTGGTATGGCTGGCTTTCAATATCTGGCTTTTAAAATCTTCTCTCAATTTGATTATGTATCTTCTATAATAAATAGGAAACTAAGATATAATTAAAGAATTATTTATGAAAAAGCATTACTAAAAATTTCAAAGGGACAGGGATATGGTCCAGAGAATAATTTCCTACTTTTTGGTTGAGAAAACCTTTTTTTGACAGATGGGAGGAAGATTCAAATAATTATTACAATGATACTCCTATTAACTTGTTGACATTAACTTTTGGTTTTTGAGGTTTAGCTGTCTTAAAATTAAATAGATGAATAAATTATCATTACAGGATACCTTCTATGACTTTTATTCCACTTCACATAGTTAACTTTTTTGGGGGGGGTGGTAGTGGTGAGAACACTTCATATCCACTCTCTTAGCATATTTCAAGTATACGATAGTATTGTTAACTGTCAAAACTATGCTGTACATTAGATCTCTGACTTATTTAACTTTTGGTATTTTAGTTTTAATTTAGTGAGTATATAGTGATTTAACAGAATTGTTGATATATCATCCTGTGCTCATCACAACAAGGTGCACTCCTTAATCCCCATCACTGATTTCACCCATCCTCTCATCCTCCTCTGCTCTGGTAACCATGTCTGTTCTCTATAATTAAGAATTTGTTTCTTAATTTGTTTCTTTCTCTTTTTTCCTGTTTGTTTTGTTTCCTTAATCCACATATTAATGAAATCGTATGGTGTTTGTCTTTCTACTGACTTATTTCACTTAGCATTATATTCTCTAGCTCCATCTATATAATTGCAAATGATAAGATTTCATTCTTTATGATGGCTGAATCATATTCTATTTTGTGTATATAACTTTTTCTTTATCCATTCATCAGTCAATGAACACTTGAGCTGCTTCCATAATTTGGCTTTTGTAAATGCTCTATAAACATTGGTATGTATGTATCCCTTTGAAATTTTTTGAATTTTTTGGGTAGATATCCAGTAGTGGGATTACTGGATCATAGGGTAGCTCTATTTTTAACTTTTTGAAGAATCTCTATACTGTTTTCCATAGGGGCTGTACCAGTTTGCATTCCCCCTACCAACACTGCACCAGGATTCCTTTTTGTTCACATCCTCACCAACACCTGTTGTTCCTTATGTTGTTCCTTATGTTGTTGAGTTTAGCCATCCTGACAGGTGTGAGGTGATATCTTGTTGTAGTTTTGATTTGTATTTCCCTGATGCTGAGTGATGGTGAGCATGTTTTTATGTGTCTGTTGGCCGTCTGGATGCCTTCTTTGGAAAAATGTCTGTTCATGTCTTCTGCTGTTTTTTAAATTGGATTATTATTTTTTTTAGTGTTTATTTGTATTAGTTCTTTATATACATTTTGGATGCTAACCCTTTATCAGATATGTCATTTGCAAATATCTTCTCCCATTCCATCAGTTGCCTTTTAGTTTTGTTGATTGTTTCCTTTGCTGTGCAGAAGCTTTGTATTTTGATGTAGTCCCAATAGTTTATTTTTTATTATTTTTTAGAGATTTTATTTATTTATTTGAGAGAGAGAGAGAGAGAGAGAGAGAGAGAGAGAACAAGTGAGAGGAGGAGCAGAGGCAGAAGGAGAAGCAGGCCAGATCTCAGGACCCTGAGATCATGACCTGAGCTGAAGGCAGGTGCCTGATTGAGCCACCCAGGTGCCCCTAGTTTATTATTATTTTTTGTTTCCCTTGCCTCAGGAGACATATCTAAGAAGTTCCTATGGCCAATGTCAGAGACATTATTACTGCCTATACTCTTTTCTGAGATTTTTATGGTTTCAGGTCTCATAAAAGTCTTTAATCCATTTTGAATTTATTTTGTGTTTGCTGTAAGAAAGTTGTCCAGTTTCAATTTTTTGCTTGTTACTGTCCAGTTTTCCCGGCACCATTTGTTGAAGAGATTTTTTCCCATTAGATATTCTTTCCTGCTTTGTTGAAGATTGTTTACCATGTAACTGTGGGTTCATTTCTGGGTTTTCTATTCTTTTCTATTGATCTACATGTCTACTTTTGTGCCAGCATCTTATTTTGGTTACTTTAGCTTTGAGATATAACTTGATGTGTGAATTGTGGTATCTCCATCTTTGATTTTCTTTTTCAAAATTTCTTTGGAAATTCAGGATTATGTGGTTCCATATAAATTTTAGGATTTTTTTGTTCTGGCTCTGTGAAAAATGCTATTAGTATTTTTAGGGATTGTATTAGATAGGTAGAATGCTTTGGATTGTATAGCTACTTTAACAATATTTGTTGTTCCAATCTATAGCCATGGAATGTCTTTCTATTTCTTTGTGTTGTTTTCAATTTCTTTTATTAGTGTTTCACAGTTTTCAGAGTATTGGTCTTTCACCTCTTTGGTTAGGTTTATTCCTAGGTATCGTTATTTTTGGTGCAATTATGAATGGTATTGTTTTATTAATTTCCCTTTATGCTGTTTCATTATTAGGCTATAGAAGTGTAACAGATTTCTGCACAGTGATTTTGTTTCCTGTGAGTTTACTGAACTCATTTATCAGCTCTAGCAGTTTTTTGGTGGAGTCTTTAGGGTTTTTTATTTAGAGTGTCATGTCATCTGCAAATAGTGAAAGTTTTAGTTCTTCCTTACGAATTTTGATGCTGTTTATTTCTTTTTGTTGTCTTACTGCTGTGGCAGCTAGGTCTTCTAGTAGTGTGTTGAATAAAACTGGATGCTGATTGGGGCTGGGACCAGATCCATGGTCAAGGCTAGCCACAGGCCGGGATTGGCCTTGTGACCAGGCTTAGGGTCAGAAGATATGACTGAATTAAGGGTGAGGGTAGATTCAGAGCCAGAGACAGCTTTGGGGCTGGGATTAGGGAGGGAGCCCTGCACAGAGCCAGGGTCAGGGCTGAGGCCAGAGTTAGGGTCAGAGCTGAGGCCAGAGCCAAGAACAGAGAGCATCAAGACCCAGGAGGGAGACCTGCCTTGGCCTCAACACTGAAGCAGGGTTGAGGACGGAGCCTGGGGCAGCAGCTGTAGTTACACCCTCATGCGCCCACTTGTGCTTGGTGAGGTTGGAGGCTTGTCAGAAAGCCTTGCCGCAGAGCTGACAGCGGTAGGGGGCACACTCCGGAATGCACCTGCAGATGCTGCAGCATTGCAGAGGCCCCACCAAAGGTCTTGGAGACGGGACAGGCACAGGACCGTTTGCCGTGTGGATGCACAGGTTGTACAGCAAACCGGACTCTGGCTGAAGGCCTTGCGCCAATGGGGACCATGGTACGGGCACTTTGCAGCAGCGCCGAGCTCTGGCCGATAGCCTTGTCACATTGCAGGCATGGGAATGGCTGCTAGCCAGCCAATGTGCACTCGCAGGTGCTTCAGTGGCTGAGTCCTGCCTGAAGCCCTTGGTGCACACCCAGCACTTGCGCAGGGGACATGCGCAGGTGCTGAGTTAGCAGCAAGCCATGCTGAAGGCCTTGCAGCACCCCCGCGGTGCTGCGGCTTCCTGTGGCTGCAGCGGCCGCAGTGCTTCTGAAGGCTTTCCCGCAGGAGGCGTGGATACTGCAGTGCTGGGCCAGTGTGGAGCGGTGGATGAGCGACTTACCGCAAGTCAGCGCAGCGTAGCTGGCTTCTCGCTGCAGTCGGACAGGGGCTTCGGGCTGTGTGGGTGCGGCAGGGCTGGGCTGTCCAGAGCTGCGGCAGAAGGCTTGACCCTAAGCCGGGCAGAAGTGCCGGAGAGGGCTGGCAGGTGCAGGAGGTACCATGGGGTTGGTGGCCAGGACCCTGAATGTAGCAGTGAACCTGGACGAGAGGGGGTCCAGGTCTGGGGCTTCGGTGGGGCGGATGGTGTCATTTTTAGCGTCAAAAACTAGGGGGACAGGGGCGTCTGGTTGGCTCAGTTGGTTAAGCATCTGACCTCTGCTTAGGTCATAATCTCAGGGCCCTGGGATCAGTCTTGTCCCGGGCTCCACACTCAGCAGGGGACTCTGCTCCCTTTCCCCTTCTCCCTCAGGCCCCTACCTTTCTACCCCCTCCTCCTGCATTCTCTCTCTCTCTCTCTCTCTCTCTCTCAAATGAATAAAACCTTAAACAGACAAACAAAAAGAACTAGAGAGACAGGGTTGATGATGTCTGGATCAAGGTGCAAACTTGAAGACATGAGGTGGAAATCTTGGAGATGCCAGTCCCAGTCCTGAAATGGAGCAAACTTCAGCATCAGGTCTCCATTCTCAGAGACAGACTGAAGTTTCAATATAATTTATTTCTGCTCTAATCTTTATTATTTCCTTCTTCCTGCTGGTTTTGGGTTTTGTTGTTCTTTTTCTAGCTCCTGTAGATGCAAGGTTAAGTTGTTCATTTGAGATTTTTTGGTTGTTGTTGAGGTAGGCTTTTGTTGCTATATACTTGCCCCCCTTATAACTGTTTTCACAGTATCCCAAAGGTCTTGGATATTGTGCTATAGAGTTTGTTCTGAAAGTGTTCTGGTTGATTTTTGGGGTGTTTAGGATGATTTGATTGTTATCTAGTTGTAGTCATGGGACCAAGTGAGCCTAGGGGTCCTCCTACTCTGCTGTCATCTTCCAACCTCTTCTAGCATAATTCTTAAGGGCCTCAGGATTTTCAGAATGGTAAATGAGCATTGGTTTAGCTTCAAGTCACCATATGCATTAGCCCCCAACCAGAGAATCAGCCTGTTGTTTGAAGCTTTGAAGCCAGGCATTGACTTCTGTCCAGCTATGAAAGTCCTAGGTGGCATTGTCTTTGAATAAAAGACTGTTTTGTCTGCATTAAAAATCTATCATTTAGTGTAGCCACCTTCATTAATTCTCTTAGCTAGATCTGGATAAGTTGCCACAGCTTCTGCATTAGCACTTGCTGCTTCACCCTGTGCTTCTATGTTACGGAGATGGCATCTTTTCCTCAAACCTCATGGACCAACCTCTGCTAGCTTCAGACTTTTCTTCTGCAGCTTCCTAACCTCTCTCAGCACTCATAGAAGTGAAGAATTAGGACTTTGCTCTGAATTATGCTTTGGCTTAAGTGAATAACACAACTGGTTTGATCTATCCAGATCAGTAGAAGTTTCTCCATATCAGCAATAAAACTATTTTGCATTCTTATCATTTGTATTCACTGGAGTAGTGCTTTTAATTTCCTTCAAGAACTTTTCCTTTGCATTCAGAACTTGGGTAACTGGTGCAAGAGGCCTGGCTTTCAGCCTGTTTTTTTTTTTAAGATTTTATTTATTCATGAGAGAGAGAGAGAGAGAGAAGTTGAGACACAGGCAGAGGGAGAAGAAGGCTCCATGCAGGGAGCCTGACGTGGGACTTGATCCCAGATCTCCAGGATTGCGCCCTGGGCCAAAGGTGATGCTAAACGGCTGAGCCACCTGGGCTACCCGCCTGTGTTGGTTTTTGATGTGCCTTCCTCACTAAGCTTAATCATTTCTAGTTTTGATTTAAAGTGAGATATGTGAGACTCCTTGTTTAGCTTGAACACTGAGAGGTAATTGTAAAGTTATTAACTGGCCTAATTTCAATATTGTTATGTCTCCAGGAATAGGAAGGCACAAGGAGAGGGAGAGAGATGGGAGGACAGGCTAGTTGGTGGAACAGGTAGAGCATGCACGACAGTTATTGTTAAGTTTGCTGCCATATATGGGCATGGTTTATGGTACCCCCAAACAATTTTAACCATAACATCAAAGATAGTGATTACAGCAATAACAAATATAATAATAATAAAGTTTTAAAATATTATGAGAAGTACCAAAATATGACGCAGAGACACAAAGTGAACAGATGCTGTTGGAAAAATGACACCAATAGACTTTTTTGTCTTGGGTTGCCACAAACCAATCTGTAAAAAAATATAACCTTTGAAGTGTAGTAAAGTGAAACAATAAAATAATGTACACTTGTACCTTGTAACTTTGTTTATGAATTAGTAATTTATGTGTAAGTCTTCCTGGAAAGACTATTTCCTTAAGATCAGAGCAAGTCACACACATCTACATATTTGTTATCACATGTAAACAGTAAATAAATATGTGTAACTTTATGAATTCCTGAATTAAATTAACTCATTTGTTCCCCTATTATTATACTATATTTGGTATAGTAACCTATCAGAATAAAAGTTTATAGGCATTTTTTGCATTAAATATAAAACCCTTTTATAATGTTAAAATAGAAAGTAATTGGGAGGGACTACTATTTATTATGCACTTATGTCATATCTCCATCTGTCAATGACTAGATGAAAATAATGAAAGGAGTGGCACTTTAATTGGCTCCAGTAGGTGCTGCATGACTAGATCCTTGGTTCAGAGGCTCAGATAGACTCACTTGAGCTATCGTGAGGCAAAAAATTAGTTTCAGACCATATATTAAATAGTAGCATCTGAAATTTAAGTGTCTGATGTGTACAGGTATTTTCCTAGTAACTTTACATGTATTGGATCCTTACCACTATCTTACAAGATATGTGCTCTAGTACCCCAATTTTATTAAATGAAGTCAGAGAGATAACTTACCCAAGGTCATATACTTAGTAAGTGGGTAAAACAAATTTTGAGCAGTTTGACTCTAGAACTTGTACTCTTAACAATTACACCATTAAAAGAAATCACATGCTTCTACCCAACTTACTTTTGCTATTTTTTTGTTATTAATATTGTTGTTATACCTAATTATATTCATGGGTTATATAGCAATCATAGAATTACACAGTGTGACTTTTATACTTATTTGCTTGCAATTATACTAATTAATTTATCTTAGTTTCTGAATAAAGGTTAAATAATAGTTTACATTTTATTTTACAAACTACGTATATGTAGAGCTTATATTCTATTTCTTCAGTGTAATTTAAACTCTTATTTTTTGATAATAAATAAATGTTGTACTTATTACAATTTTAACAGGGATAGTGAAAGTTCACCAGAGGCAGTACAAAGTTATGAAGCTGTACAGCAGTTAATTGAAGGTGATAATATCTTATACATGTTTAGCATTTATTGGGTTTCCTATAGTACGTTAACATTTTGAGACTTACGGTTTAAAATTTTATAGCCATAAAATTATACAGTAGCAAATTTAAAAAGATATTCAATGGTGAGTTTGATATTTTCAATAAAAGTTCTTATGTTTCAGATTTTGGGAGTTGTACAAAACAAATAAACCTTGGTTGTTAGCTACCATAAAATACATAACTTAGGACAAAAGCACATTATTCATCACTTTTTTTTTAAGATTTTATTTATTCATTCATGAAGAGACACAGAGAGAAAGAAAGGCAGAGACACAGGCGGAGGGAGAAGCAGGCTCCATGCAGGGAGCCCGATGCGGAACTTGATCCCAGGACTCCAGGATCATGCCCTGGGCCAAAGGCAGGAGCTAAACTGCTGAGCCACCCAGGGACCCCCTATGCATCACTTTAATATATAGCGAGACACATGATAAAAGTTATGTATAATTTGCAGTGAGTCCACAGATACCCAATTTGGTCAACCCAAGGAAGTTGGGAAGATTTTATACAACCTTAGTGGATGAATAGGATTTAGTCAAGTGAAGAAGAGAGATATCTGGTATTTTACAAAGAAGATATAGCGTGAACAAACAGCATGAAGAGGGAATTACAAGTAGAATGGTATTAGAATTGAAGCTAGTAAGTAGGGATGAGGTAAGAAGAGAGAGCCTCAGCAGAGGGATTAGATGGTGTGCTAAGGAACTTTTTTCTATTATTATTTTTCCCCATATATAATAGAGAATCACTGAAGACTTTTTTGTAGGGAAGGGGCATTGTTGGATTCAATTGTAGACAGATTATTCTGGCCATTTGTAGAAGCTAGATTTGGGGACTAGGAATGGAAGCACTTATCACACAGGTGTGATAAGTGCTTTTATTAGAGTGCAAATAAGAAGAAAAGGGGCAGATTTGAGAAAATTTACTGGGCAAAACTTGGTAATTGGATATGAAAGGAAGGGAGAGTAAATCATAGTAACATTAAGGGGATAGGAGAGGAAAAACAAGTGTTGAGAAAATGATGAGTTCATGTCACTTAGTTGCTCTATACATTAATTCAGATGTTACCATTTGTTGTGTGATTGGGAGGATCTCCAGTGTGGGCAGCTCTATTATTTTTTTTTAGAATTTTCTTTCTCTTGAATGAGTTATTTAGAAAAAAAAACTATGAAATTCAAGCTCAATACACATAATTGATATTTGAAACATATGACAAACTTACTATTATTTCAGAATTCATAAAAACTCACTCAACTGAAGAATTTATAGATGTTTCTGCAACTGATCCACGTAAGTTATTTCTCTAAGCATTATTGATGTTAATAACTTCTGTTGAGTGCATTAATTTCTATAATCTTATTTAAAGTTATTATTATGGTAGTAACATAGATTCCCTGGAATTTGGAGATAAACAGTTGAGCTGGCTAGCAAGTAAGTACTGAAATTCTTAGCTAGAGCTACATGCTACATAAAACAGATTAATTTTTGAGGAATACCTTGCTATCACTTGGATTGGAGGATTTTTAGTTTTGATTAGAGTATGCTACAGAAATGTTTCATAGGTGCTAGGCCTTTGAGATGAATAGTGATAGATTTAAGAGGTCATTTGTAGGTTTTGTTTCTATGAATTATAGATGATCTTATGTGCATTAATTCCTTTAAAACAGCTGAGCACCTGTCAGTGCATAAAAATAAAGAGCTACTAGAACTAGTATGTTAAACTTCTGACTATTTATCAAAGTAAAGGAAAAATTACCTTGCTTATGCCTTAGTCCTGGAAAGAATTTTGAAGCAATCATGTAATGTATGCTATAGAATACAATTCAGAGGGATCCCTGGGTGGCTCAGCAGTTTTGCGCCTGACTTTGGCCCAGGGCATGATCCTGGAGTCCCGGGATCAAGTCCCACGTCGGACTGCCTGTGTGAAGCCTGCTTCTCCCGCTGCCTGTGTCTCTGCCTCTCTCTGCCTCTCTCTCTCTCTCTCTCTCTTTCTCTCTGTGTCTCTCATGAATACATAAATAAAATCTTAAAAAAAAAGAATACAATTCAGAAGTGGAAAATAAGATTTGGTTGGAAATGATTGATGGGAATCCTGTCTTCTTTCAACCTCAGCTTTAAACTCTAATGTTGCAATATTTAAAGCCAAGGGCAGCTTGATGCCACAGCACACCCAAGTTCTGTAGATACCTTTGATCCAAGAGAATCCTGAATGACTAGTTGGATAGAAAGAAATCTAGAGCTGCAGAGTGGATAGTGAAAGTTTCTTTCTACTTCAAGGGAAACCCTCTGCACATCTGTGGAGCTCTCTATCTGTGTAGCTGTCTTCTCTAATACTGTACTCTGTGAATTCTAGCTGCTTTGGGCTTCCAAAACTCTAAACTTTGTCTCTGCACTCCAGGAGAATAGCAGACTCTGTTTAGATCCCCCTCCTTTATGCTGTGGCCTAGAAACCTCAGGAAGGAAGACGGGCTTATCAAAGGGCTCTGTCTGTTCCTTTGTTTCCCTTCTGTCAGAGATGACTGCCTTGCACCTTTTCTTTGACAATGTCTGAATATTGCTTTTTCACATATTTTTGTTCAGATTTTAATTGGCTTATGGTGAAAGAATAATTTTAGTCCCTGGTGCTCCACCATGGACAAAACCAGGGGTCTTTATGCCCACGTATAGGCTGATGGAACATAACCTCCTACCAAACCCAAGAGAATAAAATAGTAGAAATATTAGTGATGATTTAAAAATGTTCTTTCTGGAGACAGAACATGAGAGACTCCTAACTCTGGGAAACGAACTAGGTAGGGGTGGAAGGGGAGGTGGGCAGGGGGTGGGGGGTGACTGAGTGACGGGCACTGAGGTGGGCTCTTGACGGGATGAGCATTGGGTGTTATTCTATATGTTGGCAAATTGAACACCAATAAAAAATAAATTTATAATAAAAAAAATAAAAATGTTCTTTCTTTTTGTCTGTCACTTTGTCTCTTTCTTCATTCACTCATTTAATTGAGGTATATTTGACATACATTACATTAATTTCAAGTGTATGATATTTGTATATATTGCAAAATGATCATCACAATAAGTCTAGTTAACATCTATCACCACACCCTACAAGAATTTTTTTCTTGTGATGAGAACTTTTAAGGTCTACTCTCTTAGCAACTTTCAGATGCAATACAGCATTATTAACTATAGATGCTGTACATTACATTCCACAACTTATTTATAACAGGGAGTTTATACCTTTTGACCACCTTCACCCATTTTGCCCACCCCACTTCGACCCCCACCTCTGGGAGCTGCTGATCTGTTCTCTGTATCCATGAGCTATTTTCTTCCATGGCAGCTGCCTCAGTCCCTGGGCTCCTTTGGTATAGATCTACTGATTCATTATTTTTCAGTTTTACTTGTATACACTCTCTTTTTCTGTCAAAAGTATCCTTTTTCATCTTCTCCAGACAAACTTTATTCTCTTCTCTTCCCCTTCTCTAAATTCTATTTTATGCCTTAGTTTCATCAATAAGACAAAAGCTACCTTTGTATTCCACTCTGTTTTTATACTACTGTTTAATTTTGATGCTGCTTTATTTCATAATTAATGGAATTAATTTTTTACAGCAGTTTTAGGTTTATAGAAAAATTGAGCAGAAAGTACAGAGTTCCCATATACCCATTCTCTGCCTCCTACTCCCTACACAAAGTTTTATTAACATTTCGGATTAATGTGCTACATATGTTAAAATTGATGGACCAATATTGATGCAATATTATTAACTAAAGTCCATAGTTTACATAGTTTTCAATCTTTGTGCTGTAGAGTTCTATAGCTTTTGACAAATGTATAATGTCATGTATCCACCATTTTAGTATCAACAGAAGAGTTTCATTGTCTTGAATCTCATGTTCTACCAATTTATTGTAGGCCCTCCTATGTAGGACCATCCATCTGAGTACTTGGCAATCATTGATCTTTTCAATATCTCTGTTGTATTGCCTTTCCAAAAATGTCATATATTTGGACTCCTACAGTCTTTTACTTAGTAATATGTATTTAAGTTTCCTGCTTAATGATTTTTGTGGTTTTATCACTCATTTCTTTTTATTACTAAATAACAATCCACTGTGTAGATGTATCATAGTTTGTTTATCTATTGAAGGACATCTTGGTTACTTCTAAGGTTTTGCAATTACAGAAAAGCTGCTGCAAATTGAGTTTTTTTCATGTTGACATGTTTTTCCAATTCATTTGGGTAAATACAAAGGAGTGCAATTGCTGGATCATATACTAAATGTATGTTTAGTTTTGTAAGAAACTGCCAAACTCTTTTGCAAAGAGTTTCTTTTTTTTTTTTTTGGATCATTTTTTTGCATTTCATATTCTACCAACAATGAGAATGAGAATTCCTGTTGCTCTTTATCTTTGTCAACATTTGGTGTTGTCAGAATTTTGGATTTTAGCCATTTTAAAAGCTGTTTAGTGGTATCTCATTGTTTTAATTTGTAATATTTTTAAAATATGTTTTTGCCTTTTTTGGTGAGGTATTTGTTCAGATATTTTACCCATTTTTAATTTCTTTATTTGTTTTTTATTGTTGAGTTTTAAGTGTTCTTTGTATATTGGATACAAGCCCTTTGTCAGATAATTGCAAAGATTTTCTCTTCATCTATAGTTTCTCTTTTCATTTTCTTACTAGTGTCTTTTGTAGAATGGAACTTCTTAATTTTAATGAAGTTAAAATTATCAGTTTTTAACTTTCTTAGGTTGTGCTTTTGGTGTATCTAAAAGTCACCTTCAAACCTAATGAAACCTAGACTTTCTCCTATATTGTCTTCTAGAAGTTTAATATTTTTGCATTTTATATTTAAATCTATGATCCATTTTGAGTTAACTCATTCCCACATCCACTTCCCCTTTGTAAACATCAGTTTGTTCTGTATAGTTAAGGGTCTATTTCTTGTTTTGTTTTTTTTTCTCTCTCTTTCCCTCACCCGTGATTGTTTTGTTTCTTAAATTCCACATATGAGTGAAATCATATTTCTCTGACAGACTTATTTCACTTAGTATAATACTAACTTCATCCATGTCATTGCAAATGGCTGAGAAATATTACATTGTATATATCTCCATTATCTCTACCTACCTACCTACCTACCCACCTACATATCATCTATCAATATACCACATCTTTTTCCATTCATCAGTCAATGAACATTTGGGCCCTTTCCATAATTTCACTATTAGTTGATAATCAGGATGCATGTATCACTTTGAATTAGTATTTTTGTATTCCTTGGGTAAATACCTAGTAATGCAATTGCTGGGTCATAGGGTAGTTCTATTTTTAACTTTCTTTTTTTTTAAGATTTTATTTATTTATTCATGAGAGACACAGAGAGAGAGAGGCAGAGACACAGGCAGAGGGAGAAGCAGGCTCCATGCAAGGAGCCCGATGTGGGATTCGATCCCGGGTCTCAAGGATCATGCTCTGGGCCGAAGGCGGCATTAAACTGCTGAGCCACCTGGACTGCCCTATTTTTAACTTTCTGAGGAGCCTCCATACTGTTTTCCAGAGTGGCTTCACCAGTTTGCATTCCCACCAACAGTGTAAGAGGGTTCCCCTTTCTCCATATCCTCGCCAACATCTGTTGTTTCCTGTGGTGTTCATTTTAGCTGTTCTGACAGGTGTAAGGTGATCTCTCATTGTAGTTTTGATTTGCATTTCCCCAATGATGAGTGATGCTGATTGTTTTTATGTGTCTGTTGGCTGTCTGAATATCTTCTTTGGAAAAATATCTATTCACGTCTTCTACCCCCTTGTTAGCTGGATTGTTTTATTTTGGGTGTTGAGTTTCATAAGTTCTTTCTTTTTTTATTTTGGATACTAACCCCTTATCAGATATGTCATTTGCGAATATCTTCTCCCATTCCAAAGATTGCCTTTTAGTTTTGTTAATTGTTTCCTTCTCTGTGCAGAAGCTCTTTTTTTAAATAATAAATTTATTTTTTATTGGTGTTCAATTTGCCAACATACAGAATAACACTCAGTGCTCATCCCGTTAAGTGCCCCCCCTCAGTGCCCATCACCGAGTAACCCCCACGCCCTGCCCTCCTCCCCTTCCACCACCCCTAGTTCGTCTCCCAGAGTTAGTAGACTTCCATGTTCTGTCTCCCTTTCTGATATTTCCTACCCATTTCTTCTCCCATCCCTTCTATTCCCTTTCACTATTATTTATATTCCCCAAATGAATGAAAACATATAATGTTTGTCCTTCTCCGATTGACTCCTTTCACTCAG